CGCTCCCCTCCCTACGCGGCCCCGTCGCCGCCCCTACGCGGCCCTGTCGCCGCCCCTAGGTGGCCCCGTCGCCGCCCCTAGCGGCCCGGTCGCCACCCCTAGCGGCCCGGTCGCCGCCCCTAGCAGGCAGCCGAACCGCCCAGCAGCAGCAGCCGCCCCTGGAGAAGCCGCCACTGCAGCAGCCGCCCTTGGAACTGCCGCCACTGCAGCAGCCGCCCCTGGAGCAACCGCCCCTGGAGCAACCACCACTGCAGCAGCCGCCCCTGGAGCAGCCGCCACTGCAGCAGCCGCCCGTGAAGCAGCCGCCACTGCAGCACCCGTCCCTGGAGCAGCCGCCACTGCAGCACCCGCCCCTGGAGCAGCCGCCACTGCAGCAGCCACCCCTGGAGCAGCCGCCACTGCAGCAGCCGCCCCTGGAGCAACCGCCACTGCAGCAGCCGCCCCTGGAGCAGCCGCCACTTACGGCAGCCGCCCCTGGAGCAGCCGCCACTGCAGCAGCCGCCCCTGGAGCAGCCACCCCTGCAGCTGCCGCGGAGCTCTCGCTCTAAAGTGGTAGCGGCATCGCCGTTGCCGCCGTCGTACGCCTGCCCTTCTCACCACTAGTGAGCACTGCCCTGCCCGTACTGCTATTACTACTGCTCTTACTACTGCTGCTATTTCTACTGCTACTGCTGCTCCTGGCGTGGCTAGATGCAGCTCTAGCGTCACCCGCGTGAGTCCCTCACCCCCCAACAGCTTCGTGAGTGGTACACCAGTTGGGGTTGTCGGGGTGGCAGTAGTGGGAGACGTCCTGGATTGGGTAGTTCGAGAGTTTCTTGTACTGGCCCAGTGCAGCACCAGCGTTGTCCGCGCGAGACTCTTTTACCACAACAGCTTCATGAGTGGTACGCTCAGAGTGGAGGGTCGCTGAGTACTGCTCGCTGCCCGTACGTTATTAGCACGGGTGTCTGGACTGGTCAGACTTGCAGGACGCGTGGTCACACAGAGTTGCGGGACTGCTGCTGCCGGACTGGTCAGACCTGCTGCTTCGCGCGTCTGAGCGACACTTGGCGTACAAAGTTTGGCGACGACGCTAAGCTCCCCGACTGGGTGGAGATGCTTAGGCAGAGGGTAGATATCTTTGCTCTTGACTATGATGCTATTCTCACTGCTAATGTATGCATTGTCTACTAGTGCAGAGGGAGTCTTTCACCTGTGTGTGCCGCCTGACCCCGGTATCCAGTCTGCTGCTCTAGGTGCTGGTGAGGCTGCTGCTCTAGGTGCTAGTGCGTCTGCTGCCCCAAGTACTGGTGAGTCTGTTCTCTCAGGTAAGACGTCGGCTCAGGCCTTACACACCTTCATCCCTGACTCGATGCTTCCCGCTCCTTCTTTCGAGACCGCACCACGCTTACGCCGCTTAGTCGGCCGGTTGCGGTCTCCCTTGCGGACCCCTCTGGGGGTCCTGTCCGTGCCAGCTTCTCCACTGTCTTACCATGCTCGGCAGTCCCCTCTAGCAACCTGTCAGGTCTCTACCTCCCCTCGTTCTCTACAAACTTGGTGAGTGGAGCTGATCCACAGGATAGGGGGGTTGACCAGTTCACTCCTGCGATTCAGCGGGTGACCCACTGCACGTGTGCTCGGACAGGCCGACACTTGGCCACATTCACCCGTCGGCCGGGGTCGAGCCTGTTCACACTTACTACTGAGTCTCCTCAAGTTGCTGAGTCTGGTCAGGTAGCTGCGTCGAGTCAGGTGTTTACTGCAGCGTCCAGGTCTGGTCCTGAGTCTGCTCCCTGCTCGTGTCGTCTCCTGTCCCAACAGACTCTCCTTTGGCACCACCGCCTTGGTCACCCCTCCCTGCCTCGTCTCCAAGGCATGGCCTCCCGTGTCCTTGTCTCTGGTCTTCTCCGGTCTCTCCCTCCCCTACGTCCGGGGCCTGCCCCTACCTCCGTCCCCTGCGTTGAGGGGCGACAGCGCGCCGCCCCTCACTCCTCCGAGTTTCCTCCGACAAAGGCTCCGTTGAAGAATCTTCACATCAACATGTCAGGCCCCGCCCGCGTCCGTGGCCAGGGGCACGGGCGTTATTTCCTGTTGGTGGTTGATGACTACTCGCGTTACACCACAGTCTTCCACTTGCGCAGCAAAGGTGACGTCACTGAGGTGTTGATTGACTGGATCCGCGCAGCTCGTCTCCAGCTCAGAGAGAGTTTTAGCTCGGACTTTCCTGTTATGTGTCTGCACTCTAACAGACGCGGGGAGTTTTCCTCTGCCCGTCTGGGAGCCTTCTGTCGAGCACAGGGCATCCGCCAGACCTTCACGCTTTAGACCTCTCCACATCGAAATGGGATTGCTGAGCACCGCATTGGCATGGTCATTGACGTCACTCGTACGTCCATGATCCAAGAGGCTGCCCCCCATTTTCTGTGGCCGTCTGTGGTTCAGTACGCAGCGCATCAGCTCAACCTTCAGCCCCGGGTCTCCTTGCTAGAGTTCTCCTCCACCTTGCGGTGGTTGGGGAAGGTTGGCGATGCGTCTACGTTTCGGGTCTGGGGATCTCGGGCGTTTGTCCGCGACTTGTCTGAGACAAGCTGTCCCCCCGAGCTGTTCCCTGCATCTTCCTTGGCTTCCCCCGTGACACGCCTGGGTGGCAGTTCTACCACCCCACCTCGCGCCGTGTTCTATCCTCCCATGACGTCACCTTTGATGAGTCGGTGCCTTACTACCGTCTCTGCCCCTACCGCATTGCGCCCCTCCCCCCGCTGCCGCCCTTCCTTGCGCCAGGTCCTCCCCCGGTAGACCCCCTCCCCCCTCAGGGTCCTGCCCCGTCAGGTGTGTCCCAGGTAGACGCAGATGAGCCTATCTAGGTAGCTGTTGATTCTGGTGCTGCTAGAGGTGCTGTGCCTGCGGGTACCGGGTCTGGGGGTGCGGAGCCTGGGGGTGCTGAGTCCAGGGGTGCGGAGCCTGGGGTTGCTAGGTCTGGGGGTGCTGAGCCTAGGGGTGCTGGGTCTCCTCGTGAGACCTCTCGCGGTGCTTCGTTAAGGAGGGAGCCACTTTCTCCGGAGGAGCTGCGCGAGTGGTTTTCCCGGCGCTGGAGCTGTGCTGCTAGAGCTAGAGGTACTACTATTGCTGCTGGTCCTGGAGGTGCTCGTACCGGCGGTACTGGAGCTGCTGAGGCTGGGGGTGCTGCAGGAGGTACTGCTGGTGCTCCTGGAGCTGCTGGAGTTACTGGAGCTGGAGCTGCTGGGGGTGTCGGCTGTGGTGGTTCTGCTGGCGATGGTGGTTCTGCTGGCGCTGGTGCGTCTGAGGGTGCTGGAGTTGGCGCTGTTGGAGCTGGCGGTGCTGCTGACACTGGTGCTGCCGGTGGGGGTACTGGTGCTGTCGCTGCTGGTTTTGGAGGCACTTCGCGGCCGCGGCCGTACTTCGTTCCGCTACTTGAGTAGGTTCTTCGTCTCCCGCCCTCTACTGGAACTGCTCCTCCCAAAGAGTGTCCACATCCTGTCCAGTCGTAGTCACAGTTACAGCCCGCCTCCCCCCTGCCTGCTTCTTCTTTCTACACTAGTCCTACTCAATGTTTTACTGAGCGTCGTGAGCATGCGTCTCGTCCTGCGTCGCGTGTTCGTGCTACTCGCACTAGTCGTCGTGCTGCGCGTCCGCGTCATCCTACGGTCCCAGACACACCAGATGGCACTTCAACACCTTAGTGACGTCACCCTTGCTGCGCAAGGGGAAGACTGTGGTGTAACGCGAGTAATCGTCAACGACCTGTAGAAAGTACCTCTCTCGCCCCTGCCCTCTGACGCGGGCTGGGCCCCACACGTCCATGTGAAGAGTCTGCAGCGGAGCCTCTGTCGGAAGAAATCGGAGGAGTGAGGGGCAGCGCGCTGTCGCCCCTCGACGCAGGGGACGCAAGTAGGGCCAGGCCCCCGAGGAAGGGGAGGGAGAGACCGAGGGAGACCAGAGACAAGGACATGGGAGGCCATGCCTCGGAGACGAGACAAGGAGGGGTGGCCAAGGCGGTGGTGCCAAAGGAGAGTCTGGTGAGACAGCACACGACATGAGTAGGGGGCAGACTTAGGACCAGACCTGGACGCCGCAGCAAACACCTGACTCGACGTAGCTACCTGGGCAGACTCAGCAGCAGGAGGAGACGCAGTAGTAAGGGTGTACAGGCTCGACCCTGGCCGACGGGTGAATGTGGCAAAGTGTCGGCCTGTCCGAGCACACGTGCAGTGGGTCATTCCCTGACTCGCACGAGTGAACTGGTCAACCCCCCTATCCTGTAGGTCTGCTCCACTCACCAAGTTCGTAGAGAACGAGGGGAGGTAGAGACCTGACAGGATGCCAGACGGGGATGCTGGGCATGGAAGGACAGTGGAGAAGCTAGCAAGGACAGGACCCCCAGAGGGGTATGCCAGGGAGACTGCAACCAGCTAACTGAGCGGCGTAAGAGTGGTGCGGTCTCGAAAGAAGGAGCGGGACGCACTTGAGTCCCGGGTGAAGGTGTGGAAGGCCTTAGCCGACGTAGTACCTGAGAGAGCAGACTCACCAGCACCTGGGGCGGCAGACGCACTGGCACCTGGGGCAGCAGACGCACTAGTACCTAGAGCAGCAGCCTCACCAGCACCTAGAGCAGCAGCCTCAATGCCCAGGTCAGGCGATACACACAGGTAACACTCACCAGCAACTCTAGTATCAACAGCATACATGGCAGGAAGGAGAGCATCAAAGTCAAGATCAAAGATAGCAACCCCGGCCTTAGCCAGATCTCCCCAGCGAGGGATCTCCGATGCCTCAGGGAACTGGCGACGCCACACGTCCGTCAGGCGACCAAAGCAGCGCAGGGTGGAGTGCGGGCCCCCGCACTGCTCACCAGCGTGGTCGCCGGTACGGAGGACGTAAGAGCAGGGACCAAAACCCCCACCGTGTTGACGCTCAGTGTACCACTCACGAAGCTGCTGAGGGGACAGGGTTACACCACTCCGCTGCTACTGCTGGCGCTGACCACCACCGCCGCCACTCCTCTACGCAGAGTCGCGACTTGCTCCACCACCGCCGCCTCCGCCGCCTCCTCCACCTCCGCCTCCTCCACTACCTCCGCCGCCTCCGCTCCCTCCGCCACCTCCACCGCCTCCGCCGCCTCCACTACTGCCGCCGCCGCCGCCACCCCCAGCACCACTCCCACCACCACCCCCACTCCCTCCACTGCCTCCACTACCACCTCCACCGCCCCCTCTAGCCCCTCCAGCGCCCTTGCCCCCCTTGCCCTTGCCGGTGCGGCGTCTCCCGCTCGGGGCAGATGCAGCGCCGACCGACTCGAAACCAACGAGGTCGGCCACAGCAGCAGAGGCAACAGAGGGCAAGAGGGGGGAGGGAGAACACCCCGCAAAGACGAGGGTGCGAGGGTCACCACGAGAGGCTCCTACAGCGACTATGCTCTTCTCTATCGCTAGGAGGGCCTTCTCGAGGAGGTCAACGGTGAGAGTGGTGGGGCAAACTGAGAGGAAGTGGTCCCTGACTACGCGGAGAGAGTCAGGGAGCTGGGTGACTGTGTAGTAGAAGGTGATGTACATAGGGGGGGGGGTTCTTGGCGCAGAAGTCAGCAAGAAGCGCAGCACGGTAGCGAGTCTCACTAGTGCGGAGGTGTGTAATGAGGTCAGCGACTATGGGAAGGGCAGCAAGGACAGGGAAGAGGTACGGTAGCATGAGGCGGCTCAGTGCAGGAGTGGCAGGGGAAGAGTAGTGTGCAACTACAGCGTCGTACAAGGTCTGAGCACTCTTGTACTGGCTTAAGTGTGCACGCTCAGTGGTCGGTAAGTGGCGGCACACAGCAAGGCGAGTAACAGCATCGCGCGTGACCCACTGTGAGCGAACAGTGGCGTCAGCATCAGCAGGAGGGGCAAGGGAGGCACCAGAAGTGAGGTCAAACAGGGAGAGGCCGTCTGCCCTATTGCACTGCTGGAAAAGCTGCAGATCATTTACCCAGACCTCAAAGTCCACTGCCCTACCCTCAGCGTCAAAGGTGAGAACGCTAGGGGAGGCCATAACAGCAGTAGGCAGGCAGTGAGGACAGTGGGGGAGGGCAGTGCAGTGGCAGAGATAATGCTCTTACTAGGCAAGTGGGGCGGTCGGGCGACTCGGAGGTCGGGCGGCTCGGCTGCTCGGCGGCTCGGTTGCTCGGTGCTGGGCGGCTCGGCGGTCGAGCGGCTCGGCTGCTGGGCGGCTCGGCGGTCGGGCGGCTCAGCTGGCCGGCGGTTCGGCTGCTCGGCGGTGCGGGCGCTGGGCGGCAGGGATGCAAGTAGGCGGCGGGGCCGCAGGTGGCGGCGGGGCCGTAGGTGGTGGCGGGGCCGCAGATGGCGACGGGGCCGTAGGTGGCGGTGGGGCTGCAGGTGTCGGCGGGGCCGCAAGTGGCGACGGGGCCGCAGGTGGCGACGCGGCTGCGGGTGGCGACGAGGCCGCAGGTGGGGACGGGGCTGTAAGGGGGGGGGGGGCAGACGGGGCCAGAAGGGGCCGTAGCGGGGCCAGACAAGGCCGCGGAGGGGCCTATACGAGGCTGTAGCGGGGCCAGAAGGGGCTAGACGGGGCCGCGGAGGGGCCTAGGCGAGGCCGTAAGGGGCCGTAAGGGGCCAGGCGGGGCCGCGGAAGGGCCTAGGCGAGGCCGCGACGGGGCCGTAAGGGGCCGAAGTGGGGGCGTAAGGGGCCAGACGGGGCCGCGGAGGGGCCTAGGCGAGGCCGCGACGGGGCCATAAGGGGCCTAAGTGGGGCCGCGACGGGGCCGTAAGGGGCCTAAGCGGGGCCGCGACGAGGCCGTAAGGGGCCTAAGCGGGGCCGCTACGGGGCCGTAAGGGGCCTAAGCGGGGCCGCGACGGGGCCGTAAGGGGCCTAAGCGGGGCCGCGACGGGGCCGTAAGGGGCCTAAGCGGGGCCGCGACGGGGCCGTAAGGGGCCTAAGCGGGGCCGCGACGGGGTCGTAAGGGGCCAGACGGGGCCGTAAGGGGCCGTAGAAGGCAGCGCGAGGGGCCGTAAGGGCGGCCAACGGGGGCCACTAAGGGCGGCTCGAGGCGCTACTCGGGTTAGGAGCGAAGCGCGCTACGGGTTGGGAAGGAAAAAAAAAGTTCGTGGTGGGCCCTAGGTAGTATTCCCACTCGGGAACCTGCTCGATACCATGACGAGAAGTGAGAATGGATGAATGAACTATGAAACAGTTGGGTACAAGTACTAACCCTAATTGGGTTGTACCCCTTATGGGCTACCCCACTACAGCCTACACAAATGTATAAGCTATAATGTTCTGACATGCCTCACATCACATGTTGTTGGCTGTATTTCTTAGGCGCCTCAAAAGATGAACTGACGAAGTTCGGTGTGAGTGAGTCACATTTGAGTGCCTCACATCACATGCTGTTGGCTGTATTTCTCAAGCGCCTCAAAAGATGAACCGGCGAAGTTCGGTGCGGGTGAGTCACATGTGAGTGCATCACATGATGTTGGCTCTAAACGTTGTAACTGAGTCCCGCCAATGGAAGGAAAGTATTGGTGAGTCTTGCCAGATACAAGTGGTGTGACTGTTGCGCTGTCTTACCCCTTCCTGCCTTACCTCCACTGTGCCTTAACCCTTCTGTGCCTTACCCCTTCTGTGCCTTACCCCTTCTGTGCCTTACCCCTTCTGTGCCTTACCCCTTCTGTGCCTTACCCCTTCTGTGCCTTACCCCTTCTGTGCCTTACCCCTTCTGTGCCTTACCCCTTCTGTATCTGAACTCTTCTGTGCCTTACCCCTAATGTGCCTTACCCCTTCTGTGCCTAAATCTTTCTGTGCCTTACCTCTTCTGTGCCTTACCCCTTCTGTTCCTTACCCCTTCTGTGCCTTACCCCTTTTGTGCCTTACCCCTCCTGTGCCTTACCCCTTCTATGCCTTACCCCTTCAATGCCTTACCCCTTCTGTGCCTTACCCCTTCTGCGCCTTACCCCTTGATCACAATCCAGATCAAGTCGATCGTGAGTCCTGCCAGGTACAAGGGGCGTGTCACGTGTCCCAAAATGGCCAGAGGAAAGCTTGACTTCAAAATTTTCAAGTACAGGACTCTCTTTAGCTACACATACATGTCTTGTTTTAGAAGTGTTTTGTGGCATCATCTAGTGCATGATGTACGGCATTTTGTTGGACGGGACACTAAATGCACCTTGGAGAGAACTGCATGTCAGAACATATAGCTTACTTGTTTCTGTAGGCTATAGTGGGGTATCCCATAGGGGGTACAACCCAATTAGGGTTTCCTATTTGTACTCACTTCGTTCATAGTCATTCCATTCTCGTTCAATTCTTCTCATGGAATCAGAGCAGGTCCCCTCCTAGGGACTGTTCCTAGGGCCCACCGAAGCGCGCCCCGAGGCGCGCGTTCTTTTTTTTTAGCGACCCTGCGTGTCGCCCCTACCGTCGCGCTCCCGCCGCTCCCTCCTCTGACGGCCGCCCGCCCTAGCGCCCGAGCGCCAACCGCCCTAGCGCCCTGACGGCCGCCCGCCCTAGCGCCCTGACGGCCGCCCGCCCCAGCGCCCGAGAGCCGCCCGCCCTAGCGCCCGAGCGCCGCCCGCCCTAGCGCCCGAGAGCCGCCCGCCCTAGCGCCCGAGCGCCGCCCGCCCTAGCGCCCGAGCGCCGCCCGCCCTAGCGCCCGAGCGCCGCCCGCCCTAGAGCCCTGACGGCCGCTCGCCCTAGCGCCCCGACGGCCGCCCGCCCTAGCGCCCGCGCGCCACTCGCCCTAGCGCCCTGACGGCCGCCCGCCCTAGCGCCCGCACGCGGCCCGCCCTAGCGCCCTGACGGCCGCCCGCCCTAGCGCCCTGACGGCCGGCCGCCCGCCCTAGCGCCCGAGCGCCGACCGCCCTTTCGCCCTTACGGCCGCCCGCCCGCACGCCTGAGCGCCGCCCGTCGTCGCCCCAACGCCCTAGCGCCCGACGCCCGCGAGCCGCCCGTCGCAGCCGTTCGTGAGCTCCCTGAGCCGCCCGCGCCGCCGTCCCTGAGCCGCCTGTGCAGCCGCCCGCGAGCCGCCAGCGAGCCGCCCGTCGCGACACCAGCGCCGCACGAGCCGCCCGAGCCGCCCGAGCCGCCCGAGCCGCCCGAGCCGCCCGAGCCGCCCGAGCCGCCCGAGCCGCCCGAGCCGCCCGCGCCGCCCCAGCAACCCGAGCCGCCCGAGCCGCCCGAGCCACCCGAGCCGCCCGAGCCGCCCGCGCCGCCCCAGCAACCCGAGCCGCCCGAGCCGTGCCGCTGTTCCTGAGCTGTGTTCCTCTGCTGCTGACCTACCCGACTCTCCCAGCCCGGTGAGACTTTCAGCTGCTGCCATGGCCACCCCCAATGTTCTTACTTTTGACGCTGAGGGGAGGGCCATTGACTTTGCCGTCTGGATTGAAGACCTGCAGCTGTACTTACTGTGTGATGCGATAGATGAGGTCTCTCTCTTTGACTTTGTCTCTGGCGCTGTCCCTGCCCCACCTGCTGATGCTGACTCTGCCGTTCGCTCCAAGTGGGCGACCCGCGATGCTGCTGCACGTCTTGCTGTGCGTCGCCACCTCCCTTCCTCTGAGCGTGCCCACTTTAGTCAGTGCAAGACCGCTCAGGCCTTGTACGACGCTGTAGTTGCACGCTACTCCTCCCCTTCCTCCGCTACCCTTAGCCGCCTCATGCTACCGTTTCTCTTCCCTGACCTCGCCTCCTTTCCCACTGTTGCTGACCTCGTTACCCACCTCCGTGCTAGTGACACCCGCTACCGCGCTGCCCTTCCTGCTGAGTTCCGCGCTGCGAACCCTCCTCCCATGTACATCACTCTCTACTTTCTCGTCACCCGTCTCCCTGAGTCCCTTCGTGTCGTTAGGGACCAGTTTCTCTCTGTCTGTCCCACCACTCTCACTGTCGACCTCCTTGAGGAGTCCCTGCTAGCGGCTGAGAAGAGTATTGTCGCTGTAGGGGCCTCTCGAGGTGACCCTCGCACCCCCATCTTTGAGGGGTGTGGTCCTTCCCCCCTGCTGCCCTCTGTCGCCTCTGCCGCTGCGGCCGACCTCACTGGTTTTGAGTCGGTCGGCGCGGCGTCTGCCCCCAGCGGCAGACGCCGCTCTGGCAAGGGCAAAGGGGGCAAGGGAGCGGGTGGAGCTAGAGGGGGCGGTGGAGGAGGCGGTGGGGGTGGCGGGGGGAGTGGGGGTGGCGGTGGGAGTGGTGGCGGGAGTGGAGGTACTGGTGGTGGCGGTGGAGGCGGAGGTGGCGGCGGAGGTGGTAGCGGAGGAGGCGGTGGGAGCGGTGGGAGCGACGGTCCTGGTGGGGGAGGTGGCGGTGGAGACGGGGGTGGCGGTGGAGGCGGGGGTGGCGGTGGAGGCGGGGGTCGGGGTGGCTCATCCCAGCGGAGCAGCTCTGGGGGTGGTCAGCGCCAGCAGCAGCAGCAGCAGCAGCTACAGCAGCAGCCACAGCAGCAGCAGCGCTCTCGCACCGTCCCCGGCCCTCAGCAGCTCCGTGAGTGGTACTTGCAGCGTCAGCGTGGTGGTGCGCTTGGTCCCTGCCCCTACGTTCTTCGCACCGGTGACCGTGCAGGGGAGAGGTGTGGAGGCGCCCACACAGCCCGCCGCTGCTTTGGCCGCCTGACCGACGCCTGGCGTCAGCAGTTTCCGGAGGCCGCTGAGATCCCCCGCTGGGGAGAGCTGTCTAGGGCTGGTGTAGCTATTTATGATCTTGATTTTGATGCTATTCTCTCTGCTATGTATGCTGTGACTGGTAGTGATGAGGATGACTGTTACCGGTGTTTCCCGCCCGACCCGGGCATTGGTACTGCCGCGTCAGGTACTGGTGAGGCTGCTGCTCTAGGTGCCAGTGCGTCTGTGCTCTCAGGTGCTGGTGAGTCTGCCCTCTCAGGTACTGTGTCGGCTTCGGCCTCTCACACCTTCACCCTTGACTCTGGAGCGTCTCGCTCCTTCTTTCGGGACCGCACCACTCTCACGCCGCTGAGTCGGCCGGTTGCGGTGTCCCTGGCTGACCCCTCTGGGGGGCCTGTCCTGTCTCGCTTCTCCACTGTC